GCATAATAGTTTGTTAGTTTTTGTTCCAAGGTCACGCAACGAACACAGTAACACATTTTCTGATAATGTATGTTAGTTGTCGAGTTGTGCTGCTAGTTAATTCTTGAGAAGTCCATAAAGATTTGTATTATATAGGCGTAGAATTTTCCTTCAAGTGACGTTTGATGGGTGGTTGTGTAATTCATGTTAGGGAACTCTAATGAAAAGTTCCTGATACTGTTTACTTTAACGAAAAACCATATTTTTACACTAAAAAGTCAATCCTGATACTATTCACTTTACTATTTATTTTGTCCTTATCGTTAAAACTCAAAGTTTTCAAGCCATTTTCATTAGTTTTTCTTTCATGTTATAATTATATTATTTTTTGTTAAAAAAATAAAAATTTAAACAAAATATATTAAGGTTATTTTGGGAATAATCGTGGTGGAGAAATAACATTTTACTTTTTTTAAATTTTTATGGTGTGTGTGTTTATTATATGGATGGAAAAATAGGACACTAAAATAGTCTAATAGCACTCATTATTTTTTTATTATATATTGTGGGACTCGCTGTTACAAAGATTATAAAAAATAGGGCAAAAGACTGTTTACTACCCTCATGTTTGGTGGTTTTCAACATTTAGTACATCAATTTTTTTTCATCCCAAAGTCATAGACTCATACCTAAAGTGTAAATTTTGGGACAGTCTCATACATCCGTTAGTCAAATTGTTAAGTTTCCAGTTAAGTGATGACGTGGAGCCCATATGGATAATGATTGGGCGCCACATGTCATCCACATGGAAATTAAAAATAAATTATTTATAAAATAAATTTAATAAATTTAAATAATTTATAAATAAAATAAATAAATAAATAAAAAACCCCTTCTTCCCCAAATCCCACCCGTGCCCACCCTCCCTTCATCCACCCCTTCGTCTTCCCCAAATCCCACCCTCCCAGTTCCCCTTCGTCTTCCCCACCCTCTACCCCCTACCCACCGACACCCTTCCTTTCCCTGATACCCACACAGCAGAACCCATTTCATCCCCCAATTTTATCAAGACACCCACCACCCAATTTTATCAAGCTCCGCCATTTCCGACACCAATCTCACCACGCGCACCTGAACCCTCCGGTGTTTGAGTCCGACGGCGCCAACCTCTCCCTCCCTCCTCTTCCCCCGTCGTCCGCTCCCTCGACCTCCCAGCGCAACCCAGAAGAAGAACAAAAACAAAAACCCAGAAGAAGAAGAAGAAAAAAGAGGAGGAAGAAGAAGAAAAAAAAAACTGAATCTGCAACCCAAAAGAAAAAGAAGAAGGAGGAGGAGGATGAGGAGGAGGAAGAAGAAGAAAAAAATAAAAAAATAAAAAAATGAGGAACCCAGTTCGTTCCCCCGAGGAAAAAATAAATAAATAAAAATAACCGAATCTGCAACCCAGATTTGGAGGAAGAAGAAGAAGTAAAACTCAATCCCCAAAACCCAGAAGAAGAAGAAGGAGGAGGAGGAGAAGGAAGAAGAAAAAAAACAAATGAGGAACCAATTCGGCCCCCCGAGGAAGAAGAAGGAATAGAAAAAAAAAAGATTTTTTTTCAAAAGTTTTTGGCGGGAAAAAAAAAATTTAATACTACCAAAATCCCTTATCTAAAAAAAAAAAACAAAATCCATGTGGACCCACGTGGCGACCCAATTGGCGCCGAGTCATTGTCCACATAGGCGCCACGTCACAGTTAACGGGAGACTTAACAGTTTAACTAACGGATGTATGAGACTGTCCCAAAATTTACACTTTAGGTATGACTCTGGGACGAAAAAAAATTGATGTACTAAATGTTGAAAACCACGAAACATGAGGGTAGTAAACAGTCTTTTACCCTAAAAAATAATTTTGCACCTTCGTTTTCCCCTTATGCGCACCTCCTTTTGTTCATGCACTTTAATTATTATTTAACCCAACAAATTAAGTACGAAAAATCATTTCCCTATGTATATACATGCCATCACTTACATAAAATAAACTTTTACAAATTAAACCACAGCTTTACCTTCCTGGTCAACAACTCAACGTGTTGAAAATTGAATTCGAATTTTCTACTCTCTCATTTTTTTTTTCCTTCCCTTTACTCTTTCTTAATTTAAATGTTCATACTTAATCACGTTAACATTTTATATTAATTTTTTTATATAAAAATTAAAACATAAATAAATAAATAAAAGAGAAGAAAGAGGAGAGAGGAGAGAATCCTACACAGGTAAAAAAGAGTTGCATACAGACAACCCATCAGAGCAACGTTGTACAGATTTGCATATGCATGGTTGATTAATTAACTTGATTGAGAAAATCTGGACTACAACAATTGACTAATATTCTGTCGGTTTATGGTAATCAATTTAAACAAGACATTAGTTCGAGTACTTATTTATTTCTCTCTCTGAAGGAATAATGTCCATTAAGATAAAAATATTGTCCTGTGTGCGAAAAAGACCAATAAATTAAAGGTAATAATGTCAATTAAAATAAAAATAATGAGGCAAATCGATGACTCTACGAGAAAAATTGGTCACTAAGACAAACAATGCAGAATATTGTAAAATATTAGATTTATCACCTTAATTTTGTGAGATTTACAATAAACTGTGGCTGCTGGATTACTTAATTCATTTGATGATATGGATCTTCTCCTACTACTCAACATCGTATGTGATGGGCTAGTAGTTGAACATCAAAATCGTATGTGGTCGTGTTTAAATTCAATTTATATTCTCCTATCTTTTACAGTTGGAATTAAAATCTGCCTTTGTTTTTAATTTGGCCCTTTTTTATTTGATATATTTCATTCTTGGTTATAAAAAATAAAAAAAAGAAGGGTGGCCGTTGGGTGTGGATGGCAAGCATTTGTAGCATATGTTAACGTGGGATGCTACTACATCATTGGCATTCCATTGGGTTGCCTTCTTGGCAATTGAAGTTAGATGTTAAATTTTCTTTGTTTCCAAAAGAATGAGTCAAAATTATTCTTTTCATTATATATTGTAGGACTTACTGTTACAAAAATGGCAAAAATTGTGTAAATTGATTTGAGTACGGTATGTGTGATGGATTGTGAAAGGCATTTATTAAATAAACCAAATTAATGGATTTGACGTTACTGGGCTATGCGTTAAAAAAAAAGGCTTGGGAAGGCGTCAATTCCACCTTAGGTAAAACTCATCGAGCTGGAAGAAAGTTGCTGTCTTTTTATCCTATTTGACATTTTTGATATCTCTTTTGAATATAATTTTAGACCAATTTTACTTGCCATACATGGAAAATTATTGTATTTGTAATGTGTTGATTAATTAATAAGGTTCCTTACTTAGGGACAATTTTTCTTTAATTAATTACACTTTTGACATCTCATCGGTTCCAAACGCAGCAATCACATATCATACTTACTCACCAAAAGTATAAGCAAATATATGTCGTACTAGCCGAAGACCAAGAGTATACAAAATTACAAATGATGGTTGATAAATCATAAATGGTATTTTAATTATCGATAAAAAAAAAAGGGTTGGACTTGGATCCAAATTTTGAAGATTGTATAATATCCAAATAATAAAATGTGCAATTATTCAAATATTTTTAACAAAATGAAAATTAATGAAAATGATTTGAAAACTTTGAATTTTAATGATAATGGTAAAATAAATGGTAAAGTGAATAGTATCATGATTGACTTTTTAATATAAAAATATAATTTTTTGTTAAAGTAAACAGTATCGATAATTTTTCGTTAAAGTTCTCTTTAACAAACGAACCAAACAAAATATTTCAATTAAAAATTACAATTTGCTGACGCTTGCATTTGACATTTATTTTAAAAGACTCTTTGCATAATGTATTTCAACGATTATCTAATGTATCTCGTGTTTGATTTTAATGAGACAATGACAGGGCTGGGGTCTTCTGGTCGTTGCCTCATAACTGATTGCAGCTAATAACTATTTCTCATCGTGGCGGGTCCAGGATCACGACCTTAAGAAATTTGCCATCAATCTTTTCTAATAATTTGTACATGTGAACATGTGACGCTATCACATTTCAAATCTCAAACATCTTTATAACACATAGTCGTAGACAAAACAGAAGTATGTGATGATTGTAACTTATATAGGTAAAACAGCTAAATCACATTGAACATGTCAATGCAAGGACCTTTGAGCGAGGAGCGGCCGGCTCTCTTCCATTCTTGTGGTGGCCTACACCGATGTCACAACAAAGGAGTAGGATTATCTCCCATTCTATTCTCATTCTCTTCCCTCTTCTCTTCTTACATATTTTTTTTTGTCTTATTGTTTCTATAAAAAAAAATTAATATAAGATGTTGACGTGGCTAAACTGTAACAGTTCAAATAAGAGAGGAGGGAAGAGAAGAGAGATGAGAAGGGGAGAGAATCCTCATCCCACAAGAAATGCCCCTCACCATTGTTACTGACTTGTTTTATGTTGCTAACATCAACTTCATTTTTTTTTTCGTTTTCTTTTCATAATTTTTTTTATTGCTGTTTGAGCAAGTATAGGCTTGCCCTTATACAACTTTGTAGGACATACATTAGTGCACTAACTGCGGATTTAAGATTTCACCGTAATTGATATTTTGCTACATTATTAGTTCATTGAGACACTACTTGTGTTCATGGAGTCACATGCTTTATAACTAAAATTCATTAGTTGCCTTTGGCGCTGGACTGGTTTGTCCATGGCTTTAGAACTACTCTAAAATTCATTAGGAAGTTATGCATCTAAAACTTTTCTAATTGTGATTTGTGTAATTTTTCCGTTTTATTATTACTTACCAATGCTTTTTGCTTTTCGTTTTATAGGTCTCCATGTATGTTGTTACAACCAAAGAATAAAATATCGATATTATCGGCGATATTTCGCCGATAATATCGTTTTTTTTAGATGGTGATATTTTTACACTTATCCACTTAATTATCGTCAATATATCGCGATATTATCGATAATATCACTAATATCGCAATATTATGCAAATTTGAGTCTGAGCTTCCGGGTCGACCTGCTTGACACCAGGCATGTCAGCCATACCGAGAGCGGAGAGCATGTCGAGGGTCTCCTTGTCGACGGAGATCTCGTCGATCTTGATGGCGGACTCCTCGGGGACAAAGTCTATGCGGCTCTCGCGCTCCTCCTCCTGCAGCTTCAGGGAAATGCCACGAACTGTGCCCTTCTGGATCCGCTTCATGAGGTGGGTAGAGAATCCGACAATCTTGTTGCAAAGACGCTTGAAAGGCATGACGGCGACTTCCTCGAGGCAGGAACAAGATCTTGTGAATCCTTCTTCCTATTGTTATTGCTTTGGTCCAATAAATATTTTATATAAATGATTAAGATAACATTATATTATTTGTTCTGTTTTAAAACAATTTTTTTTTTGTTTTTTTGGTAAATAAATGAAGTAATTGTGACTGACATTTCTAGATCTGGCTTGTATCCTCTTCCAATTTGGATTACTCAACTAGATCACGATGTCTTTTCCAGCAAAAGATTAAACTGTCATTCTATTTTTACCCCTTAAACTATCTATCTTTTAAAACAATACTATATTATATTCTTATAATATAATATTTTATTTTATTTTTCTTTTTAAGACCAAACTATATTATACTCTTGCATTATATATGTATATCTTTTTCAAAAATAACGTATTGCTCAATGTTTATGTATCTATTATATAGTAAATTTAACTAATTTATATGATATATATAATTATTTTACTCAAATCCGCCTAGGCCGCCTAGGCGCTAGGCTCTTGCCCACCGCTTGACTAGCGCCTAGCGTTTTTTAGAACCTTGATTCATAGTCGATTTTCATGTAAAACACAAGAACTGAAAAATTAAAAGTTGAAATTTTAATTTAATTTTCATACAAAAAACAAGAAGCTTCTACCAATCAAAACAGCGAACGAAAGCGTTTCGAAGAACCAAAAATTTGATTTAAATGAACAAAAAAGCGCAAAAAGTGAGAAGAGAAACACACCTAAGAAACGCGGATCGAAATGATTAGTTCCCAGTTTTTTGAAGAAGGTTTTGGAGCTGTTGGATTAGTGTGGTCAAAAAAGCGGGTGCCGACATTTTGGGAAGGGCTTTCTCATTAATTTCCCGTTGTTTGTGTAACTCATGTATCTTACCATGCAATGTATAAGGTGTAAAATATTGTACTAAGTCATTATATATAAATGATTATGGTGTGTTTAAACTTCTTTCATTAATTACTACATATTTTCTACACTCACAATGTTTGCCAGCTCGCTATATAATCAACTTAAATCAGTTAAATCCATCATGCAATGCATTTCCTTCCAATTTTTTGTGATAAACTAATAGATAATTGACTAAATAAACATCCTGCAAAGTTTCAATAAAAATTTCCAAGTTTTTCTTACAATTTCTGTGGTTTTTATTCAATTTTTATCGATATTGATAATATCCCGATATTTCCATCGATATTTCCATGTTTTTGGACTACCGATATTTCCGATATCATCGATATTTTAAACCTTGGTTACAACATGTTAGATTATCTTAAAGATCAAGTCTTGTCGATTAAGCAAAAAGATTCTATGTTACCAATGATCTCTCCTACATCGATTCCTCAGTAGAGGTAGGCGAATGGGTCCTGGACCCGCGGGTCGGGGTGGGTACGGGGCGGGTCCAAAAATTAAAAATACAAAATGGGGCGGGGTAGGCTAGTTTTAAAAATTGGAGAAAATAGGCCTCCGGCTCGGACCGTTCATTGCCTAAATCTCTACCTTCTATCTATCACCTTCACTCTCTTATTCTTACCCTAAATCTCAGACACAATTTTCTCAAACTATCCTCTCACCCTCTCTCCTCACCCTCTTTCTCTATCATAACTCTGAGTTTCCGCGACACCATTCCGAGTCTTCTTCCTCGATCTCTCTTCCTTGAATCTCATTTCCTCTCTCGTCTCAGACCTCAATCCCAAGCCCAGGCTTCCATCTTCGTACATGGACTTTCCACACTTACTTGTCCCTCACACCCGTAGTGACTGAGTCGACCTCGACTGTGTCAACATCATAGCAGCCAACCACCGTCACCATCGTCGCATCCTCTCCTGACTCTCCATCGTGGTATCCCTAGGTAATTTATGAATTAGGGTTTCTAATTTAGGAATTTAGGGTATTTACATAAGCTTTTCGATTGATTAGGGTTTCTGATTTTGTGGGTTTCTGACTTTGTGGTTTTCTGATTTTGTAATGGCGAGGATGGGATCCATGGAAGAGGACATCTCTTGTTCGATTTGTGTGTCAGGGTCAGCAGCTCCAATCGAAGCTGCTGGTGTGGCTATGTAGACTCAACGAGGTTGTCCTAGGCTCCTACTTCTCTTCTTCTCGGCATCTAATTTCAGTTTTATTCTGAATTCGAATTTGGGGATTTAGGAATTAGGGATTCAGTTAATTTGCTTGAAAAATTCATAAAAATGTTGGGGATTTAGCTTAAATAGGGATTTAGTTTTATTTATTTTTTTGATGAATTTGAAATTGTATTTGAAGATTTTTTATTTATTTATTAATTTGTTCTATTTGGGGATTTAGGTTGGGGTTGGGGCGTGAGAAATGCTTGAAAAATGTTTGATCCCCTACATAACCCAGATCACAAATTTTTCAGAAGATTAGAAGGGTTGCATTTATAGGGAGAGAAAAATGTTTAATCTGTGGTTTGTTGATCGATGAGATGTGGCAAGCGGACTTTGCAAATGGAAAACTGGGGGTCGCGAGCTGTTGGCAGTATACCCAAAATCAGAAAAAAAGAAAAAAAAGAAAAAAAAAAGTAGTTGGACCCGTGGACCCGTCCCGAACCGGCCCGTTTGAAACGAGCCGGGTTAGGTTTGGTTCTCAAATTCAAAATATCTCTACCCGCCCTATTACATTTTAAAACGGGTAGGGCTAGGTTTCTTCAAATTTGGGCCCGGCCCGGCCCGTGCCAACCTCTACTCCTCAACCCTTTCTTCCATTTCTTGCTCATTCACCATTGGCACCATATACTAATACCACCATCCCAAAATTATCTCCCTCCTTATTTGCTCTAGTTAAACTAAATTCCCCTTGGCATTATGTGATTTGGTTCTCAAGTTACCTACTTTTCTCGTTGATCCGTGCTTGTAGGACTATGTAGACTAAACTTCAGTGTTGCTGAGAGTTTGATGAGTGTGACCTCAATTGATTGCTGGTCCGTTTTTGCACCATTACTGGCTAACAAGGGCGGTCTTGAGTTTTTTTAGGCCTTGGGCGACATTGAAAAAATATGCCCTAACATAACTTCACATAAAATAATTATTTATCTTAGTATTCGTATGTTGTATATCGAATGTTAAAGAAAATAGACCTTTTTCACATTATGACTTTTTTGACAAATGATAGGATAATTTACACTAAACTCATTGATCTACAAGCTACTTGCACATTATGAAACCTTTGAAATGAATTTTTCATATTTAAGATCTCTAATTTCTATATGTAAGCAACAAATGAAAACAACAAATTGCTACTACCAAAGGGCACATAGTAATTCAACTATGTTTTTGTTTTTCAAACACTCATGAAAAGTTGCGGTTTATTCCAAATATATAAAATCATAAGGGAAAAATTATACAAAGAAGCGTAGGATGATATTTTTGGATTGTCAATAACAATACTTCGTTCAATAAAAAGATAATGACAACATTTTATTACTTAACCATGAAAAAATTATCAACAAATACAAAAAAACCCAAATTTATATTTAGACAAACTTGAACATGATTTTGCGAGTAAATTCAAACTGAAAACAAAACAAAATGCCATATTTAATAACCTAATTAATGTTTGTTTGTTATTTAAAGTAGACATGAAAAAAAAAAAGGCAAACTACCCCTTTATGTTGAGAAGAAAATTTTCGGGGTACTGGGTACCCCAGTTGAGTTGGTGTTCCTAGCAAATAGAAGCTTGACACGTAATTATCCAAGTTTTTAATTAAGACAATGTCATTTTTTTCTTTTACAAAATTACTAATTTACCCCAAACCCTAACAGAAATTGAGAATAATCACCATTAGCACCACCCACCCAGCGCCGCCAAGAACTCGGCCAAGACAATCACCCCCATCAATCGAAGCTGATAATTTTCACCGGAGAATCTCGAAGTTGATATTTTCATTGCAGACTGATCAACGACACTCTGACCTTCAAATTAGATGTCGCAGACCTCCGATTGAAGTGCGAGGGTGGTCGCGGGCAATTTCTAGGATCTTTCTCCGGCGTAAGGGAGGAGTAGATTGAAAAATTGGAAGAGAAGGAGATAGAAAGAGACAGGGAGAGGGAGAGAGAGAGATAGTGACGACGAGGGGATGCGGAGATGGGTGGGGGTGGGGTGAAGGTCGAAGACTCGGGACGACGATCTAGGTTCAACAGTTTTGTTTAACTTTTTATGTTTTTTTCTTTTTTATATAATTATTTTCTGAAACAGTTTTGTTAGGGACTAACTAGGAAGATAAATTATTAAGTGCCAACGTATGCAATACAAAAAGAAGATAGCCAGGTGTCTGGTGTTCATTGGTGGGGAACACCAGCTGTCTTGAGTACCCGGTACTCAGAAAAATTTCTCTATGTTGAGATAAGGAATTGAACCTGAGTGGGCACGGAAACATAAACCAAATAAAACCACCCTGTCATCTAAAACATATTGATATTTAATATGAGCGTTTACTATATATCAAGAATAAAACAAAACCTTATACATATATGAGGCAACTTAATTTTTTTTGGTGCTCCTCTTTTTTTTGGGCCTCGAGCGGTCGCCCTACTGGCACTAGGCCAGGACCGGCCCTGCTGGCTAATGTAATGTGTTGTCCACAGTTGGAAGCCACTCTCACAATTCTCGTTGGTCAATCCAGTAAAGAAACCAATGTTCTTGCTTTAAATGGAACAACTGCTAAACACTGTCTATCAGATATTGAACAGATTTTGGTGGGCCAGGGTGCGAATGACAGTCTTGCACAAATATGCTCGGTTCATTCATCAAATCTGACTGATGCATCTTGCCCAGTTTTTTATGTTAATGAGTTTGAGGATACAGTTGATACTTCAAAGTTGCTTGCCGCTTGTGAGAAGATTGACCCTGTGAAAGAATGTTGCGCTCAAACTTGTGAGAATGCCATATTAGAGGCTGCTACAAGGATTGCATCGAAAGCTTCTGATCTTTTGAGCACAGATGGTGCGGTGCTCATGATCTCTTACCTGATCGATTAAGTAAAGTCAATGACTGCAAAAATATTGTCCTCCGGTGGCTGGGAAGTAAACTCAGTCCTTCTCGGGGACTATCTAATTGCAAGATTAACAAGGGTGAGTTTATAGTAAAATATGGTGCTACATAGGACCTCCATCAAATTCTGCACTTTCCTTTTATCTTGTAGTTCTTAGTTTTTCTAAACAGGAAAATGGAAAATTATAGTTATTATGTTAACCGGTTAAAAATGGGATATTCATAAATTTATCTAGAAGTTTCTTAGAGTTGTCTCCTAAAACTGTATCGATGAATTAGTGCCAGTGGTTAAGGAAATATATTATTACATATATATTCTTATAGACTCTCTCCTATTTTTATGATTAGTCTCTTTCTTTCTGTATTGGAAGGAATTATCTTGGCACTTCTATAGGTGGATTGCCATCTCTATGAATATGGATCAGTCATATAAGAGATATCATTGGTGTTCTAGTTGTCTGCCTTCATCATATTCGGGGCTTACTCCCGTCTTGTGAAAGTTTATTATACGTGATTTTTGTGTGAGAGAGAAATAGAAATAGAGCGAGAGAAAGCATACTAGTTTATGTTTCTGCTCTGCATCTTGTATTAGTTTGATTTTACTTGGAGATGCCAATCTTCGATTGGAGTATCTGATCGTGTATTTCTGTCTGGTGTTCACTTCAGCTTGCCCCCTGGTTTTCCCTGACATGAAGCATGTTGCAATGGGTTGTGGGAATGGGATAAGTAACCGGACTGCATGTGGCACTGCCATGGAGAGCTATGTGGCGCACTTACAAAAGCAGAGTCTCATTACCAACTTGCAAACTTGGGATTGTGCTGCATCACTGGGAATGAAGTTAAGAAAATCAAATATTATCGAAGATGTGTATAGCCTATGTCATATAAGCCTCAAGGATTTCTCTCTTCAAGGTTAGTGCTTCCTCTGTTCCTGTATTTTCTTTACCAAACGATAAACAGCCTACCTTGGTGCTAGTACTGATTGTGTACTTTATACATGTCAAAATCATTTGGGGATGGATTTGCACACTCAGTTGGAAATCAAGGTAATAAACTTACTTTCGTTTGGATCACCCATTATTTTAGCGTACTCAAAGAAAAAAAAATTACTGTATCCAAAAGAAAAGGTTGCAATTTTGAATTTATTGTCAGAATAACTAATTTTGACTTTGCCAATGCTGGTTGAGTTGTCAATAATTTCGTACCAGTGCTTTTTACTCGTTTCTTCTTCTAATCTTGTAAACTGGTCTTTCGTTATACTTTTGCATCATAGCGTCTGGATGTCTTTTGCCGAGCCTGCCTTCCGATGCAACATTTGACAGTTAAGGGGTCAGCTTCCTTTGTGATTGAATGATAACATTCCAGCTCCGTGGCCCACCTCTCAAGGTGCAGCTTCATCGTGCAATAAAAGTATGTGCAAGCAAGCTCTTAGCTTTTATTCATTGCAATGGAGTACCCTGCATTTGCAATCCGATTACATATTCAAATTGGCACTACTTTTTCATAAGGGTGTATTTTCCTTTTAGTAGTGCTCTCATGATTTCTGCCTGACTTTTCTGAATTCCAGATGTCAAGATTCCTGCACTTCCTGCGGCAGCATCTGCTGAAAGTGGTGAGTAGGTTCATTCGTTAATCTTCATAGGTGATAATTTCGTTTATTTCAGCAGTCCCCATTTGCAGTATGTAAGGCATGCTAAGTTTGTTTATCCTTATGAAAATTATTGGGTAATTAGTCGCAGAACTCTTCGAGCATTATATACATAGAAAACCACAGTTCCCCTAGAGCCTTGAATTACGAATGT